TATATATATATATATATATATATATATATATATATATATATATATATATATATATAGTGGTGGAAAAAACAATAAATAAATGATCAAAATGTTTAGAAAAATATATTTTATTCACAGCAGTTTATGATAAAAAAGGGGGTGGAGGGGGCCCTTTGAATCTCCAACTCTGGCTCCTTTACTAGCCTCCTCCAACTGCTATGACCTACCTACGTGAATGAGAAATGTTATACTGTATATCTTGAATCATGGTATGTTTAATAACATACATTCAATTCAATTAATTATTTACAGTTTACTCATATACTATATTATTAATATTTTAGCTAATTATTTATAATTAAAGTAAAAGTCATTGTTAAAGTTTAAAGTATTACCGCACATTTTAAAACCTGTAAGTTTTTTTAATATTTAAAAATATGAGATTAGGATATTAATATGCAAACTAGTATAACAATTCATATGACAGTTTTAACTTATGATCAATAAGTAGAAAATCACATTGCACCTCAGCTGAGGTGCAATGCGTTTTGAAGCATTCCAACGTTCTGTTGGAATGCTTCAAAATGCTCTAAAACCACAAAAATATGTGGAAACTAAAGGTCCAAAAATAAAAACTAACCGAGAAGATAAATTAAATATTCGTGAAGCTAAAAAGGACTTGTTTATCTCCAGCAACACTATTTTAAAAAACTTAAAATTAAATGCAACTTCACATACAATTAGGGGGCATTTTTCGAGATCACCTAGAAGTGTGCCTTTATTAAAAAAACAACATATAAAAGCCAGAAAAGAGTTTTACCATAAATATTTTGCTTGGACAAATAAGAAATGGGACAGAATGGAACAGATGAATCAAAATAAAACAGATGAATCAAAATTTAATATTTTCAGATAAGATAGTAAGCAGTTTGTCCACAGACCACCAAATAAAGAGCTTGACCCACATTACACTAAAAAAACAGTAAAATTTGGTGGTGTGTTTCTCATTGTATAATCTCATCTCAATTGCTCCTATTTTCTAATAATAGACTGATATTTATGTTAATATACTCCAAGAAATAATGCTTCCTTATGCTGAGGATAACATGCCATTGCTTTGGATATTTCAGCAAGATATACGTCTTTTATTGCAAAGAGATGGTTCCAAAATAATGGTATTATATAATTAGATTGGCCAACACAATTGCCAGATTTAAATCCAAAAGAAAATTTATAGAAAATTGTAAAAGATAAGGTAACAAAACAAAAGTCTCGGAACAAAAAAGATTTGTGGCATGCTGTATGATGCTGTAAAAGCATCATGGTATGATACTGTAAAAGCATCACAGTATGTTGTAAAACATGGTGTAATGCTTTTACTGCATCATACCACTTTCAACATGCCAAAAATTAGTAAACAGCATGCTTAAGAGACTAATTGAAGTATAAAAAAAAAAGGCATGCAATAAAATAATACCTAATTGTCGTAGATATTGTATATTTTGACATTTTGATAGATACCCCTTTTGAAATAAAAATTTTTGTTTTTCCTTTTTTGTATAATCATATTTGTTAATTTTTATTGTATATTATATTTTTTAACTAATAATTACATAAACACATAAACATTAAACTTTCTTGATTTTTTTCAATAGAAAATCAAATTAAACATTTCTGTATTTACTATTTTTTCCAGTAAATTTTTAGTTAGTTTAAATAAAGTTGATAGTTGCATGAAAAAAAAAACTTTTTTAAAGATATAAGTATTAACACTAAACTTCAAAAAAACAAAAAAGTAATTATAATAAATTGCTGCAAAAAAAATGTATTTTTTTAAATATTTAGGTCATGTATTTATTACTTTATTAAAATATGTACATTATTGTATATTATCCACATATCAATTATCACAAATTTGCTATTGAAATTGTTTATCAAGATACTAACAATATTAATTTTTGTATTTATGATAAAAAAATTAAAAAACATTTTGATTTAAATTTATTTCAAAATAAAAGGAAACTAAATAATTTTACAAATATAAATATCATATATTGTATAAATAACATATAAATATGATATTTTAAAACCTTTTAAAAGTTAAAAAATATACTTCTCTATGTAACATATTAAATCAAAAAAAAAAAAAAAAAAAAAATTTGATTTTTGGATCTTATCCTCATTGATTATAAACCCTTTTTTACTGTTGACACAAACCAGCACCACTGCATCAGTTATCAAACACCACTGAACCAACTGCAATAAACACCGCAGAACCAACTGCAATAAGCAGCAATACAAACACAAACTACACAATTTGGGTACTTAACTCTTCAAGTATCCTTTTTCAGATATAATTTTAAAAAGTTTTGCTTCAGAACCATATGCTGTCGCCTTTGATTTGTAGCACATAGTTAACTGCTTTTCTGAAAGATTATTATCACAAATGATATCATGGTATATGTGAACTAAACCAGGATCAACAGCTCGAAAAACAGTATGTTGTTCGCTGAGCACATAT